TATCTATCTATCTATCTATCTATCTATCTATCTATCTATCTATCTATGGTATATATATAAATGTGTATATATGTGTGTGTGTGTGTGTATAATTATAATTATTTCTTGTTAAAATTATATCTTTCTTTTTCTTTTTCCTAAGTATATAGGACACCTACTCCCACCAAGCCATGCCCACAGCTGATCGGCTGGGTCTTCTTTGGTTGCCTTGCGCAGGAGAACGGAGCTGGAAAGCAGGTTAGTGTGGTGGGGAGGGAATGGGGATTTTACACTATCTTTCCCCTGCCATGCCCACCAAGCCACGCCCACCAAGTCACAGCCACCAAGCCACACCCACAGAACACCTACTCCCACCAAGCCACGCCCACAGCTGATCGGCTGGGTGGTTGCCCTGCACAGGAGAACGGAGCTGGAAAGCAGGTTAGTGGGGTGGGGAGGGAATGGGGATTTTACAGTATCCTTCTCCTGCCACGCCCACCAAGCCACGCCCACAGAACCAGTAGTTAAAAAAAATTGAATCCCACGGCTGAATACAACCAGGAAGGAGGACAGACAGCTGAGCTTCAGTGCTCAGTAATTTTATTTCTGGATCACCATAAAACAGTCCCTGGCTTCGTGCATCTAAAAAGGACCACAATCTGGTGGTTAAGTTTTGGCTCAGCAAGTTGTATGAATGCCACACTGTGGGTTGCATGTTATGGTGTACATCTTAGCGTTGCTATGCAAACCTGGCCACTAAATTAGTCAACGAGCCTTTACTAAAACAAACAATGTGTAATCCAGCCTATACACACACACATACAGTACACACACCCAGAGACTATACAGTTTCGACAAGGAACCTATCATCTTTCATCATCGTAGGATTATGAAATGGAATGGATCCTGGAGGAGGCGGGAGGGCACAGAATCTAAAATCCAGATCCCTGATCCATTATGAAGCCCTTCAAGTGATCTTGCACAGTTCAAGTGGCTTAGTGAAGGGGGCCAATTGCCTACGTTCACAAACACAAAAGCTCCTCAATTAACTGTCCCAACTGGGCCACGCTAGAGAGATAGTCCTCCACTTACGACCATAATTGAAGTGAACCCCTGCGATTGTTAAGTTAGTAACACGATTGTTAGGTGAACCTGGCTTCCCCATGGCTTGTCAGAAGGTCGCAAAAGGAGATGACGTGACTCTGGGACAGGGGTCTCCAACCTTGGCAACTTTGAGACTTGTGGACTTCAACTCCCAGAGTTCCTCAGCCAGCATAGAATTCTGGGAGTTGAAGTTCACAAGTCTTAAAGTTGCCAAGTTTGGGGACCCCTGTACAGGCATGATATTCCCCTCTGAAAAAAAAATCGGGGCCGGCCAAAAGAGACCCCCCACCGCCCACCGCTCGCACCGCCCGCCCGCCCGGGCTCCGCTCGCACCGCCCACCGCTCGCACCGCTCACCGCCCGCCCGGTCTCCGCTCGCACCGCCCGGTCTCCGGTCGCGCCGCCCGCCGCTCGCACCGCCCGGTCTCCGCTCGCACTGCCCGGGCTCCGCTCGCACTGCCCGGGCTCCGCTCGCACTGCCCGGGCTCCGCTCGCGCCACCCGCCGCTCGCACCGCCCGCCCGCTCACCCGGGCTCCGCTCGCACCGCCCGCCGCTCGCACCGCCCGGGCTCCGCTCTCACCGCCCGGGCGATTCCCAAAAAAATCGGAATTCCGATTTTAATCGGAATAATATCATGTCTGCCCCTGTAATAGGATTAACCCAACTAGCAGCAGAGCTCACTGCAGGTCACCATCACCTGGGGACATTGCATCACCCAGCAAACTTCAACCAAACCTGGGACTCAAGACAACCTACAAAGTTAGCTACGACCTCTGCAACAGCCAATAGAATACATGTTCTTGCACAGGAACAGGAAGCTCAAGTGCAAAGCCCAAGAGAAGCTTCGCTGGCTGAGGAACTCTGGGAGTTGAAGTCTGCAGGTCTTCAAGTTGCCAAGGTTGGAGACCCCTGCTCTGGGAAACGGCAACCATCATAAATATGAACCAGTTTCTGAATTTTGTGACTATGTGACTACGGGGATTCTGCAATTGTCCTAAGGGTGAAAAATGTCCATAAATCACATTTTGGGGGGCCATTGTGACTTTGGTCACTAAACAAACTGTTGTAAGTCGAGGACTACCTGTAGTTACCAAACCACGCTTTAGCCTAGAGTATTCTGTGAAGAGCCACTGTCTCTCAACTTGAGTTATTTTGCAGGATTCTTAGGCAGATTAAAAAAAAGGGGCGAACCAGGTATTTTGTGCGAAAGTCGTCACAGGAGAGTTAATAACTCTATAATAGGGGATGCGGTGGCTCAATGGCTAAGACGCTGAGCTTGTCGATCAGAAAGGTCAGCAGTTCGGCGGTTCGAATCCCTAGCGACGCATAATGGAGTGAGCTCCCGTTCCTTGTCCCAGCTTCTGCCAACCTAGCAGTTCGAAAGCATGTAAAAAATGCAAGTAGAAAAATAGGGACCCCCTTTGGTGGGAAGGGAACAGTGCTCCGCGCGCCTTCGAAGGTGTTTAGTCATGCCGGCCACATGACCGTGGAGATGTCTTCGGACAGTGCCGGCTCTTCGGCTCTGTGACGGAGATAAACACCGGCCCCTAGAGCCGGAAATGACTAGCACGGATGCGCGAAGGGAAGCTTCACCTTTAACTCTATAATGAATCTGGAAAATATTTGAGATGAAGGAGTTGCAGTGGCAAAATATTAATTTTGGTATACGCTACAAATTGATATAGTGATATCTTTATGCAGATAGTCCTTGAGTTCCAACCATTCATTTACAGGAGGGAGCATTTGAAGTGAATTATTGAACAGCACTGAAAAAAGTGACTTATGACTGTTTTTCGCATTTACGATCGTTGCAGCATCCTCACGAATACATGATCAAAATTCAGACACTTGACAACTGATTTGTATCCAATTTAATTAGTGGAATTTAATTTTGCCTCCAAAAGTTGTGGATGCTGCATCACTGGAGGTTTTTAAGAAGAGATTGGACAGCCATTTGTCTGGAATGCTATACGGCCGTGATGGCGAACCTATGGCATGCGTGCACAAAGTGGCACATGGAGCCAGGTTCGGCTGGCATGCACGGCATCGCCTGTTCCTCTTCCGTGTTTCTGGCGCGCATGCATGCTTGACGATCAGCTGTTTCTGCGCATGCGGCAATGCTGGAAATGGGAAGAGATGGTCTTTCGGTTTCCGTTGTGGGCATGCGTGCTGGCCAGCATGCGCACCAGTTACTGGAAGACAAACTGTTCAGTGCTCATGTGCATGTCGGAAAGCGGAAGTTCATTTCCCAGCACACGCATGCCCACTGGGCAGCTTCTCTTCCGGGGTGCAGCCCTGACGAGCATGTGCACGCGCGCACTCCCTTTTCGGCACTTACTGCTAGAGAGCAAAGGGTCTCCAACCTTGGCAACTTTAAGCCTGGGGGACTTCAACTCCCAGAATTCCTCCTCCAGTCATGTTAGCACAGGAATTCTGGGAGTTGAAGTCCACAAGTCTTAAACTTGCCAAGTTTGGAGACCCTTGCAGTAGACCAATCCCAACTCATAGACCAAACCCCGCTCCCTTCTAGCACTGATCATATTACCTAGTTGGGTAATGAAACATCTGCAAGAAAACCACCAAGCTCAGGGAACATCAAAGACCCCATTGTTCAACTCTGAGCTACAAATATCATCTTCTATTAGGCCAGAGGTCTCCAACCTTGGCAACTTTAAGACTTGTGGACTTCAACTCCCAGAATTCCTCCTCCAGTCATGTTAGCACAGGAATTCTGGGAGTTGAAGTCCACAAGTCTTAAACTTGCCAAGTTTGAAGACCCTTGGTTAAGTTAGTTATAGTTTAGGCCATGCCTGAATTAATTCTGAAACTCTTGAGTTCTTGTCTGGACCATCCATTCCCCACTCTTTCTTCCCAATTCTTTCCATGTCAGAACTGGAAGGCAAGATTTCAGCCAGCTCTCTCCAAGGAGGCCATCAAAAGTTAAGGGTCGGACTCACATTCCCCAACACATTTTCTCTTCCACTCTGTCCATAGTCCCCATTAGCCAGGCTGTTTTCTCTCTCGATGACCCTAAACCGTATCTTGCTTGCTTGCTTTTTTTCTGTTTGCATGTGTGTGTGTGTGTGTGTGTGTGTGTGTGTGAGAGAGAGAGAGAGAGAGAGAGACAGGATGTGCAAAACAGGATGAGTCCTGATAAGGATGGCCTTGCTACTTCAGACCAAAAAAAGTCCAGGGAGTTCTCTGCCCTAACAAATACTTCACTGTTTCTCCACTTTAGCAACTCTAAGAAGGGTGTGTGAACTTAAGAAGGGTGTGAAGTCCACGCTTCTTAAAGTTGCTTGAGTTGAGAAAGGCTGGGATTGCTTTATAGGGCCAGGTCTTCACTGCTCTGCTCAAGCTAATGCAATTACTCCTATGCCCTGCGTATTCGCTTCCTCCTTCTGCCACCCCAAACCTTCCCAGATCCATGGAATCTTCCCAGATATACAAATCTTCCCAGATACATGGAATTTTAAAGACACGGAAGCTCTTTTTCGTGGGAGTCTGAAAAGTGGCACCCTGCGGGATGCTTCAATTCGGCAGGCCAGCTCGTCTCTTAACACCCACACCCACAGACACAAACACACACCTCCTTGCAAGGGAAAGGGAGCAGCACTCCTGAATGAAAAAAAAACCCAACAACTTTCTACCTCTCCAACTTTTCCTCTTTCAACCCTCCAGTTATAAGCAACTTTCTCCAACATGCTGCGGATCGGAAATGCACTCAGAAAGCATCTGAGAGCGTTTAGCGATGGAAAGCTACCCTCCTCCTCCTCCTCCTCCCTCCCTTCAGCATGCTGCTTTCCATCCCACACACCCCCCTCCCCTCTTGCAAATTTTTCTCCAGGCAGGCGGGCAGCGGATCCACCCTGAGATGCTTTCGGGATGACGCTACCCTTGCCAGCCAAGGTGTGGCTGCCGGCTGGCAGCAGGAAGGAAGCAGCAAGTGGGCAAGCCGGGCACTCGGCATGCCAGCGTCTAAACAGTTGTGCCAATCTTTACGCCCTCCCCGCCCCCCCCCCAAAAAAAACCCCCCCCCTCCAATTCCACATACTCACCAGCCGAAGGCCAGAGAAGAGGGGCAGGCAGAGGAACCAGCTGGGGAATTCTGCGTAGAGAAAGGGGAGAAAAAAAAGAGAGCTGACACAGAGAGCGGTACGGGGAAGAATCTGGTTTTGTGTCGAGGGGCGGAAACCAGCCAGCAAGAAAATAGTTAGCCAGCGGAGAGGGAGGGAGGGGAGCTAGTCCCAGGCGGGGTGCTGGGAAAACCAGGGAGGGGTGGGGGGGAAGCAGGCGGGCGGGCGGGACATAGCAGGGTCCTAAAGGCCAACTGGTCTAAAGGAGAACAGGCAGGATGGATACCCAACCGGGCATTTGGAAGAGGCGCTGGCCAAATTTCTTTTTTTTAAACTAATCCCATCAAACGTCCGGCGACAAAACAGCCCGTTTCAATGGGAAGAAATTTCTAAAAATCTAAGAAGAAATGTCCTGACAGGGAGAACAATTAATCAGCAGGACAACTTAAGCCCAGAAATTCCATCCCGGGAGGTTCTTCAGAAGAAGACAAGACACTTGTCTGAAATAGTATAGGATCTCCTGCTTGAGCGAGGGGCTGGACTAGAAGACCTCCAAGCTCCCTTCCAACTGTGCTGTAGTGTTGTTGAATCCTATTTCGTTTATTGTTCATGTTCAGGTTTCTAGTTTTAATGCTTGATGTTTTAATATTTCTAACTCTTCACTGCTTATATTTTCCTTATTTGTACCCCGCCTTTTTTTTATTATTTTTACAAATAACTCAAGGCAGCAAAGATATCCAATGTGCACCATATTCCTTCCTCCTCTTCTTTTCCCCAAAACAACAACCCTGCAAGGTGGGTTGAGCCAAGAGAGAGGGATTGGCTGGAAATCACCTAGCTGGCTCTCATGGCTAAGATGGGACTTATTTATTTATTTGTTGTGTTTATGATAATTAATCTAAGATGCCTGGACTTGCTTGACAGTGAGATGGGCGGCATATAAATTGAATTAATAAATAAAAATAATATACATAAATAACGACAGCCTAGCCTGTTTCCCTTCTGCTTTCATTTGGGGGGGAATTTTAATTCTACTTCATTTGACGTTATTTATAAAACCGCCTGAGACGGTGAGAAAGACAGCATAAAAACTTAATAATAAATAAAAAAAATAATTTAATTTCAGACATTACTCTATGGAATAATTAGAATTAGAATTCTTTTATTAGCCAAGTGTGATTGGACACACAAGGAATTTGTCTTGGTGCAAATGCTCTCAGTGCGCATAAGAGAAAAGATACATTCGTCAAGAGTCAAGAATCATAAGGTGCAACACTTAATAATAGTCATAGGGTACAATAAGCAATCGAATCATACTAGGAAACAGTCAATATAAATCGTAAGGATACAAGCGACAAAGTTAGTCATACAGTCATAAGTGGGAGGGGATGGGTGATAAGGAGTGATGAGAAGATTAACAGTAATAGTAGTGCAGACTTTGTAAATAGTTGGACAGTGTTGAGGGAATTATTTGTTTAGCAGAGTGATGGCTTTCGGGGGAAAATATAATGGGGTTGCAATCCTAAAAAGGCGGATTCAATCCTGCTACTAATTTAACAACTGCAGTGATTCACTTAATAACTATGCCAAGAAAGGTCTTAAATGGGGCCAAACTCATTTAACAAATGTCTCACTTAGCAACAGAAATGTTGGGCTCAGTTGTGGTCGTACGCCAAGGACTACCTGTCCTGAGAATAACAATGGATAGCCAATAAATATACAACATACAGCATGCTGACTGGCTGGGGAATTCTGGGAGTTGAAGTTCACTCATCTGGAAATTGACATATTTGAAAAAAAAAACAATATAGAAGCCACTGTGTAAGATCCACTAACAAAAACCAGCAAAATACTGTGGACATAATATACTTAAGATTTCAGCAAGGCATTCAACAAAGTAGACCACAACTTACTTTTTTGGTAAGCTAGAAAAAAGTGGGATATATAGCACCACCACTCGATGGATTCGCAACTGGCTGACAAACCGTACTCAGCGAGTAGTCCTTAATGGGTCTAAGTCTACATGGAGGGAAGTAAGCAGTGGGTGCCACAAGGTTCCGTCTTAGGCCCAGGACTCTTCAATATCTTCATTAACGACTTAGATGAGGGAATAGAAGGGGAATTTACCAAATTTGCAGATGATACTAAGCTGGCAGGAATAGCCAACACCCAAGAAGATAGGCTCAAGGTCCAGGTGGATCTTGACAGACTAGAACACTGGGCCATATCTAACAAAATGAAATTCAGTGTAGAGAAAAGTAAAGTCCTACACTTAGGCAAGAAAAACTAAAAGTACACATATAGACTGGGTGAAACCAGGCTCAATAGCAGGAACTGGGAGAGGGATCTTGGAGTCTTAGTGGACAACCAGCTAAATAGGAGCCAGCAGTGTGCAGCAGCAGCCAAAAAAGCCAATGCAATCCTAAGCTGCATTATCAGAGGGATACAATCAAGGTCAAGGGAGGTACTAATACCACTCTATAAAGCCTTAGTAAGGCCACACCTAGAATACTACATCCAATTTTGGTCACCACACTATTGAGTGTGAGACTAGAAAAAAGACAGAGAAGAGCAACCAGGATGATTAGGGGACTGGAAGCTAAAACACACAACGAACGGTTGCAGGAACTGGGCCTGGCTAGTCTAGGGAAGAGAAGGACCAGGGGAGACAGGATAGCAGTCTTCCAATATTTGAGGGGCTGCCCCAGAGAGGAAGGGGTCAACTATTTTCTAAAGCACCCGAAGGCCAGACAAGGAATAATAGATGGAAACTGGTCAAGGAGAGATTTAACCTGGAAATAAGGAGAAACTTTCTGACAGTGAGAACAATGAACCGATAGAACAGAAGTTGCCCTCAGAAGTTGTGGGAACGCCATCACTTGAGACCTTCAAGAAGAGATTGGACTGCCATTTGTCAGAAATGGTGTAGGGTCTCCTGTTTGGGTGGGGGGTTGGACTAGATGACATATAAGGCCCTTTCCAACTCAATCTGTTATCTGTTAAAAACAATATACAAGAAACCACACCACAATTATCTGCTTTCTGTTTTTCCTCCTCCTTGAATGTTTCAACTCCTATGAACTCATTGTTTTTTATCCTTCTTTGCTATGGCTGTGCAATATGGAATAAACAACAACACCTGACTGCATTATACAAATACAGGTGGCGAGACACAAAGAGGAGACTAGGCCGACAGAAGGCTATAAATAGCTGCTTTTGTCAACCTTTTACTTAAGGGCTCTATTTATGTTTATGCGCGTCCTGAAACAACTTCATTTGTTTTTCCTTTCGCCTTTCACAGGCACAGTTAAGCTGATCATTTCAGGAACAGGCATGCCAGGAGGTGCCCAGGATGAAACTTTTGGGGTAGACTCCAGTTAAAGGCATGAAGGTACAGCCAACAAAATAGATTATGTGTTTTTAAAATATGATTATAGGTAGTCCTCGACTTAAAACTTGTTTGGCAGTTCGAATCTCACCAGGCTCAAAGTTGACTCAGCCTTCCATCCTTCTGAGGTCAGTAAAATGTGGACCCAGATTGTTGAGGACAATATGCTGACTCTGTAAATCGCTTAGAGAGGGCTGTAAAAGCACTCTAAAGCAGTATATAAGTCTAAGTGCTATGGCCTGGCTTCCTTCCTTCCTTCCTTCCTTCCTTCCTTCCTTCCTTCCTTCCTTCCTTCCTTCCTTCCTTCCTTCCT